GGTATGGAAACTTAAAGGATTTCACTCAGCAGGAAGCTACAGAACATGGATTGATCGGCAAGGAAGCAAGATGTCTGCCTGAAACCTTTTGCAGGAGCAAACAGTGCCAAAAACTGGATCACATATAACCACCCCAACAGCATCGTGAGCGCAAATCACCACAAATGCACAATAAACAGCATGTCTGGGGAACTCCTCCAAAGCCACAACTATATACCATTGCATATTGCCATCAGGACTACGGGGAGGAGGAAGAGGATCTCAGCGAGGGGTGTAGCACACCAGGGCAAGCAGGGGATGGGATAGTAAGTAAGTAAGTACTGTACTCACAGAGTGGTGAAGAATGGTGAAGGCATGGAAGTCAATGCACAGGCACCAGAGCAGCAGGACCCATCGCCAGAGCCAGAGGGGCCCCAGTCTCCATGAACACAGTGGGTTCTGAGGCATAGGGAGCAGCAGGAGTGGCACTCCAGGAGGCTGAGGCAGGCAAGGGCCCACAGCCCAGCTCACTAGCTGGCCAGGTGAGGCTCGCTAGCTCTGGGAGGAGCTGTGTTATTCATCAGTTGGAATAGGCTTGGAACAGGTGAAGGTCGCATGCCTCATCAAGCCAGATGCTGCAATCAGCATGTAAAGTACAAACTGTGCTGTGTCTGCTCAACTGCCCAAGTTGATGGACCTCAGCTTGGATGGTACAGGATCTCTGCAGGACTTTGCTTTGGTTTGGACACTGGAGATTTGGATTGACCCTGGAAAAGGGGATTGGTGGAATGACTTGCTGCCAGGTAGGCCAGGGGTTAAGGACAATTACCTGTTGAATGCTCCCTAAGTAATCCATTAGGCATTAAATACTGGAATCAAGTATCACATTTGGTAACTATACACAGCTAATATCAGAAGGTTGGGTTTGATATTTCAAGTCTGAGGAATATTCAACATCAAAATGTGCAGAGGAGAAATTGGCAGGCCCATTTCAGTATTATTTGCCCTGTTTGATGGGGCATTTGTGTGTGTTTTTAGAGCTCCGGTGTGAGAAATCACATGATTTGCAACAGCCTCTCCTTTTATTAAAACCAGATGCCTTGAGCCCCTTTGTGGTTGTGGAGGGAAGTTAAGAAGCCAGCCCTTTAGGATTTGTTACCACAAACACTGAAGATGAAGTTTAGGGGTGGGAAAAGGTTGCTACATCCCAATTTCAAGGCTCTCTGCTGTCAGTCACGAGGCTTGTGATGTTCCAAGCAAGTGCAGGTACTGCCTTTTGTAATTCTCTTTGAGAAGCCAGGGCCTAAGGCGCTTTTCGACTCGAGCCACAACTTTGCAGTGAGCTGGAGCGATGTGTTGCTGTAACTTCAAAGAATCTATTGATCCAGGTGGAGCGAGTGTAGACTGTGCCAGCACTTTGTAATTCTGTTTGACTCCCCCCGCCCTCCCCAAGGCAGAAGTAATAGTTACGGAGTGGGAGCTGCAGAGGAAGGAAGGAGAGCCAAGCTGTTATAAACAAGGGAATGAGGATTCGGAACTCCTGGAGCCTATTTTCGTCTCCTGGTGAGGAGGTGGTAGAGATTAGTGGCTAGAACATGGAGAATTGGACTCGGCAAAGGCAGGCTTGTGTTCTCTTGCCAGCTCTTGCAGCTTACAGAAATCCATGGATACTAGTCCAGGGTCTAGAAACTAGCATTCTCAATTGCCCAGGATGGGTAAAGGACAACTCAATTCCCACCTCCTGTTCCACATGAAGTAAACACCAGGTTAGAGTGATGACAGGATTGACAAGGAAATTGTCTTTGTTTTCTTTACTTCTAGAAAGAGAGAAAGTGGTTTTTATATACAGAAAATAGAATTAGCTGGAGGTTTCTGTGGAGGTCACTGTGGGGTTTGGGGGGGGGTTAACATTTAGCAGAAGCTTAACAAAATCCACAAGCTCCACCTCAAGTTTTAGACAATTATGCCTTTCCCATTGCCTTCTGAAAACATCATAAAAGGTAATCCCCTCTGCAATTCAAGCTATTAGTTTGTGTTGCACAAGAGGTTGGACCAGCCCCAGTGCCATATTTACATATAAGCTAAACAAGCTATAGCTTAGGACCCCACTCTCTTGAGGGCTCCCCAAAAAAATTAAAGGGAAAAAAACAACTGGATGTACATTTCCAAAATAAAAGATGAAAAACAAAATAAAACCTACATACAGCAACAGTGTTTTGTGTTGTGTAGGCTCCTATGATGTAAGTAATGGGCCTATAAATTACCATATATCATATACTCAACACAAAAAACAGCGACAATTTGTTGTTGACAAAGGACAGCTGGACGTATAAAGGACCCCATTACCTTCAGTAGCTTAGGGCTTCATCAAACCTAAACCTGGCCCTGACCAGCCCCCACCTGCTGCCCCGATGACCCCCATCTATTGAGCATTTGTGCTGATCTGATTGCACAAAGCTTACTTGGAGGTTACATTATATCCAATCTTTCTTGAGCATTTGTTGTGATTGTTTGCAAGGCAGTTATAGCACCATGAACATTAGTCATACCGATTCACTCACAGGAAGTTAATGCATCTTTCCCTCATTCATTCATTCACCCCACACTTTACAATGCATTTCCCTGTCACTTTCTGAACCGCAAAAAAAGTCCACCCTCTTCTTCTTTTAAGATGTTTTTATTTAATTTTATAATTTATAAAACTATATGCCGCGTCTCATGCAAACTATCAAGATGGTGTACAAAGATATATACGAAGACAATAAAAATCAAACTTAAAAACAATACAAAACAGTCATTAACACAAGCTAATCTTATGAAAATTAAAACGAATAGGCAGGTCAGCATAAAGGGTCAAGACATGCCTGGAATGTAACAGTGAGATTGCCTACCTAATCTCTACTGGAAGGGTATTCCAGAGCATGGGACCTGGTGACACTAAATGCCTGACTGCTCCGTTAGGCCAGGTGGGTCTCTGTAAAACAGGGGCAATTTGTTGTGCCAGGTAACAGAATGCTTTTACCTAGGGTCCCTCCAGACCGATGGTTTTTTGCAGGTGTATTTTTTTCACGTACAGTGGTGCCTCGCAAGACGAAAGGAATCCGTTCCGCGAGTCTCTTCGTCTTGCGGGTTTTTTCGTCTTGCGAAGCAAGCCCATTAGCGGTTTAGCGGATTAGCGCTACAGTATTAGCGGCTTAGCGGGCTTAGCGGATCAGCTGATAAGCGGCTTAGCGATCAGCTGTTAAGCGGCTTAGCCGATCAGCTGATAAGCGGCTTAGTGGCTTAACGGATCAGCTGTTAAGTGGCTTAGCAGATCAGCTGATAAGCGGCTTAGCGATCAGCTGTTAAGCGGCTTAGCGGATCAGCTGATAAGCGGCTTAGCGGCTTGGGAAAAAGGAAAAAAACCCCGCAGGAACTCGCAAGACATTTTCGTCTTGCGAAGCAAGCCCATAGGAAATTCGTTTTGCGAAGCACCTCCAAAACGGAAAACCCTTTCGTCTAGCGGGTTTTCCGTCTTGCGAGGCATTCGTCTTGCAGGGCACCACTGTATCATTGATGCAGGAATAGTGCACTAGAAGTGGATTTATAATGGACTGTCCACACATCATTCCGATTTATCTGTTGTTCTGCAATGCTCCCCCAGTGTTATCACGTTGTCTCATTTCTGAGACCTGGGGAGGGGGAGCCTGGGAGGAGTCGATCTAATCCAGCTGTGCCCACCCAGATGCTTACTGCAGCACCAAACACAGGCTGCGGGGATAGGGTGGAGGTGGCCAATGGTCCACAGAACTTCCATCACCACCGCCAGGAAATCCCTCTGTCTTAAGAGCTGCCTGGGAGAGCCTGCACCTGATTTTGGGCCAAGGAAATGGTATACTAGGGTTTACTGTTGCTAGCAAGCAGTTCAGAAATGGACAACAACAGCAATTGCTGTCTGGAACAACACTTCAGCACAAACAAAGTAGGAGAACAAATCTCGGGAGAGTTTGATGTATAGCTACATGAGCACAAATCATTTTGGATGCACCAAAGAAAGGAGGCCTGGAAAGGTCCCTACATGCATAAGCCCAAAGTTCAGGTATTCAATTAAATCCCTCCTGCAAAACACCAAGAGCCTCTGGAGGTTGCCCCGGGTTATTCTCAGCAGATATTCTGCACCTCAGGTGGTATGGCTCTTATCTTGGCTTGTTCTCACCATAGCTGGTCCCAGCTGGGGGTAGAAAGCATGCTTCACTGAGGATGAATTCATGTGGGCACAATCCTAGAGAAAGCGACATGCATAATGTATAAATAAATCCAGCTGAAGTTTGTGAGCACTGAAAAGTGTGGTTTCAATGGGGCATAATTGCCATCTACTTCATCTGGAGATTTTCCAGTAGGTTTCTCCCCCTCTCTGTGTGCTGCTGTACCTGTGCGATTGTACAATCTCTCTCTCTCTCCCCCCGTCCCCGAATTGCAGTGCTGTTTGTATTGTGTAGGAGTATTGTGTGGGAGCAGAAAATTTCATGCTCTTTTTTTCTTTTTAAGGGGCTATGAGTGCTCATCTGTCTAACCAGCTAAGGGCTCTCATTGAAACACGAACTCACTGAAGTAAGAATAAAATGTAAAGCAGATTAAAAATAGTTCTAACACTGCACCTGTGATGAGGGGTGGCATGTGCGCTACTTGTAAGCAGTGATGTCACAAGGACTATCCAATAGTTGCCTGCAACAGCATCACAATAAACATTCACACTTCAGCTGCACATGTTGTTGTTTTTTTCCTTTCTGGCAACTTTATTTTAGGGTTTTAGCAGGCGCCTTTATTTGTTTGGGGTTTTTTTATTTATTTGAAAAGTCCTAATATCAGCTAAGTCCTTCAACTAGTAGGTTGACTCATTGCAAGAAAAACGAGGGCCGCAATTGGGTCTGCCAGGGAGAGTATTAACAGAAATAAACATGCATTCCTCTCCCCCCACCCTTTGTACAAGCCCTAAGACTTTCTGCTGCATTATAATGAATGCATCATAGTCCAATACTAGGCAGAAAAGTTATCAAGTTCAGTGTTAGAAAGTTCTCTCTCTCTCTCTCTCTCTCTCTCTCTCACACACACACACACAGAGAGAGAGAGAGAGAGAGAGAGAGAGAGAGAGAGAGAGAGAGAACTTTCTAACACTGAACTTGATTGCCTCATGCTCATTAATTTGGTAGCAAAATGGAACCACAGTTGCTGCATAATTAGGGGTGGACCTGGCACACAGAAATAAATTTGTTTGTAAATAACAAGAGAAACAAACTTGTCCCATTGGTTCCAGTTGGATTTAGTCATAATTTACTTTCTCTGCTTATCAGCTGTAGATCTATGCCCAACCAGATCTGATCTTCCTTCACATGGCAGATGCAGCAGATTACTTCTGGTGACAAAAGTTTATGGATTAAGTAATTTCAGTTGATTCCAAATGGTTAAGGTTTTAGGTATTCCCAAGCAATTTTAAAATGCTAGAACTGCTTGAGTTTCCTGTTGTGAGATCCCCAAATGATTGCAGAAGGGACAGCCTGCACACCCATGAAGAAACAAAACAGGAGTGAACACTTTATGTTCAGGTATACAAAATATATTCTCCAAGAAGTGAGCACAGTGTTTCAGCACACACATTTCCTCATGCACATGATACGCAGAATGAGAAATACATGAAGGAATTGAAAGCTGCAGCAAGATTAAACTGTGCAGGCCCAGCAATCTTCAGAGTCTGGGAATTCGATCTGGAAAATGGTGAATATAACTAACCCACTAGTGCTACTGCGTAAACAAAAATGGGTAATTAAGAACCACACAATCTGGGGCAAAATTTGGTGGCAGATAATTTTGTGAGCATCTATATATTCTGGGTGGCCTGTCACAGAAACGTGGCCTTTCACAAATCATCGACACCAATCAAAGCAGTACTCAAAATGGGGTGCCCCCCCCCGAAAAGGACAATGGGCCTTTTAAAACAGTTTGGCACTCTAGATAACTCCTTCCTTGGGTGACTGGGAATACTGCAAACCTTTCTTAGTCAATCAATTGTGAAATCCCTTTGAAGCAAGAACACAATCCAGGAAAGACTAGACCTGCCGTCCTCTTAAGAGGGCCCACCAGTCAGAAAGCTAGACAAGACATTTATTGTCTCTATTAAGAGCAACAGGAAACTTCTGGCTCCACCCAAACACAATGAAGTCCAGTGCTACCCAGTGACTAAATTTTGTGATGCCACTGTCCATGCACCTTGGCTCCAAGTGAATATGAAAGCAGCATTGGTTTGTTAAAGCTTTTCATAGCAGAAGCCACGTAATCAGTTGCACGTGGTTTCTCTGAAACCAGTATCTGCTTCCTCCCAGTCTTAGTATTTCCTTTGTCCTATTCTTCAATAACTGCACTTCTTTAAATTTCTGACTTAAATGCTTTGCAATTCCAAAGAAATACAGCCATGTACATATAATAGCCAGTTGCAAACTCATCTTCTCATATAAACGCTTTGCCACAGCTGTCCGTTGTCACATCCTAGCTCAGGAACTGAACTTTGGCAAAGGAGGCAGCCTCTGGCATTTCCCAGGAATTGGTGAGAGGCAATGCCCTGGAGATAGGTCCCCCTAGCCACTGACACATAATGTTGGTGTGGACAAGTGTGGAAGAGGTCTCACAGCAAGTCTGTCCAACAACCTACTGGGGTGGATGTTTCCTCCTGCTCATGTTTCCCTTGAAGGAGTGCATAGACTGAGAGGAAAACACACACACACACACACACACACACACACGGAAAGTGTTAAGCCCTGTTAGGATCCCACATACTCCTCCCCAACGGCTATTTTTAAACTTTTAATGCAAGCAAAGATGCATGCAGACATCTCCGAGAGCCAGTGTGGTGTAGTGGTTAAGAGCGGCAGATCATACGGGGAACCAGGTTTCGCGTCTTCTCCTCCACATGCAGCTGCTGGGTGACCTTGGGCCAGTCACACTTCTCTGAAGTCTCTCAGCCCCACTCACCTCACAGAGTGTTTGTTGTGGGGGAGGAAGGGAAAGGAGAATGTTAGCCATTTTGAGACTCCTTCGAGTAGTGATAAAGTGGGATATCAAATCCAAACTCTTCTTCTTCTCCGTCATATCATGCAATTTTGCCCCGAGTTGGATGCCCCAAAGATTCCAGACACCAGTTCTGCCCTTGGGACTATTTGCTTTGATTGACACAATCCCCACTTTCCTCTTCCCCTCTCTAACTGGGGAAGCTTCCAATGTGTGGGAGGGATGGCCCCCATTTCACCACACCCAACAAACAATAGAACATCCAGACTTTTAAAAGAGTTGTCAGTCTTCGTTCAGAACAATATCAGTGATTGCCCAGACTTGTTCATGGGGCAAGCAGATCATTAAGGACGAGCCCATTGTGGTGACCTGGGTGACATTCTGCGTCAGAGCTCTCATTTCAACTCTCCTCTCTCTCCTCGCACATTTAATATTAGAAATGTTACGAATTGCTCTTTGATTGGAGCAGCCTGCTTGGAGATGGAGAAAACTGCCTGCATTAGTCCTTTCTCTTTGTTTTCCCTTTCTTCTCTCTTTACTTTAAAGAAGGAAAGTTCAAGGTCTGACTCATCTCCCCTTGCCAGGAGGAGGTATTTTTGAGCAAGATCAATAGACCTAAAGAGAGAGTGAGATGAGGAAATGCATTTTATCGACCGGCTAAATCTCCATGCTGGGAAACTCTCGCCGTGAAATTATTTCCCTCCAGTTAGAAACAATCACCAAGAGAATCAAAGCACTTACTGTGTGCCTGGCTCTCTGCCAGTGGGGGTGCTGCAGAAGCTGCAGGACCAGATGCTTCCTGAAGGGGGTGCTGCTGCTACTGCCCAGGCAGAAAGAACTATCTTCTTTTATTGCCCCATTCCACCAAGAGCAGAGCCACAAGACCACTAAGAGAAGTTTCCATTGTTACCTCACTGGAGGCGGGACAGGGTGTGCAAGTTCCCAGCATTTCCTCCATGCTGGAGATGCAAATTCCCAAGAACAGATCCGTTTTGGTTTGAGACAACACAGTTTTCATTTTTTCATTTCATTTTATTTTGGTTAAAAAACCAAACAAACCGGGTTTTGGAACTGATTCAAGAATTTGGTCAAGTGGCAGGATTTAAATTGAACAAATCAAAAACCAAGGTTTTAGAGAAAAATTTAACATCTTTTGAAAGAGAGAGGTTTCAGAATGAGACAGGGTTAACAGTGGTTAAGAAAGTTAAATACTTGGGGATTAACATGACAGCAAAAATGGGAATTTATTTAAAGATAACTATGAAAAATGTTGGTCAGAAGTGAAAAAGATTTAGAAATTTGGTCAAACCTGAAGCTTTCACTGCTAGGCCGTATTGCTGCGATAAAAATGAATGTATTGCCTAGAATGTTGTTTTTGTTTCAAACTTTGCAGATCGTGGACAAAATGGACTGTTTCAAGAGGTGGCAGAGAGATATTTCTAAATTTGTCTGGCAGGGCAAGAAACCTAGAATAAAATTTAAAATTTTAACAGATGCAAAAGAAAGAGGTGGATTTGCCCTGCCAGACCTTAAACTTTATTATGAATCAGCAGCTTTTTGCTGGTTGAAAGAATGGCTACTTCTTGAAAACACTGACATTTTGGATTTGGAAGGTTTTAATAATGTATTTGGATGGCATGCATATTTATGGTATGATAAGGTCAAAGCACACAAAGCATTTAAAAACCACATTGTCAGGAAAGCGCTATTTAATGTTTGGATAAGATATAAGGATTTGCTAGAAAATTAAACCCCAAGGTGGCTGTCACCAATGGAAGCGAAAGCCTTGAAAAGGGTCAATATGGAGGTCAAATGGCCGAAATATTGGGAAATTTTGGAACAAGACGGAGATAGACTGAAATTGCAGAGTTTTGAAAAATTAAAAACAAAGTGCGAGACTGGCTTCATTATTATCAAATAATGGAGGTATTTAAATTAGACAGGAAAATTGGCTTCCAGGTGGAAAAATCGAAATTAGAAACAGAATTGTTAGAACCCAATACTAAGAATCTGTCAAGAATGTATAACTTGCTGCTGAAATGGAATACTCAAGATGAAACGGTAAAATCGGCTATGATTAAATGGGCACAGGACGTAGGACATAACATTATGTTTGCTGACTGGGAACAGTTATGGACCACTGGTATGAAATTTACGGCATGTAATGCCTTAAGAGAGAATATTATGAAAATGATATACAGGTGGTACATAACCCCAGTCAAGCTTGCGAAAATCTATCACTTGCCCGATAACAAATGTTGGAAATGTAAAGAAACTGAAGGTACATTTTTCACCTTTGGTGGACGTGCCCAAAGATTAAGGTTTTCTGGGAAATGATATATAATGAATTAAAAAAGGTATTTAAGTATACCTTTCCCAAGAAACCAGAGGCCTTTCTCCTGGGCATAGTGGGCCAAATGGTGTTAAAAAAGGATAGAACTTTCTTTATGTATGCAACAACAGCAGCAAGAATACTCATCGCAAAGTATTGGAAGACACAAGAACTTCCCACGCTGGAGGAATGGCAGATGAAACTTATGGACTATATGGAATTGGCAGAAATGACTGGCAGAATCCGTGACCAGGGAGAAGAGTCGATGGAGGAAGATTGGAAGAAATTCAAAGACTATCTTCAGAAACACTGCAAAATTAAGGAATGTTAGAGTGATGTTGGATTGAAAATAAGTGGTTTCCAGCTGTACAGGTTAAAGCTAGGATAGATTAAGATTAAAGATTAAGATTGGGAAAAATTTAAAGGTATATGACATTAAGAACAAGGATTATGTTAAAAAAAAAAAAAAAAAAGCTGTATTTATATATTTTAATATTTAATTAAATTAAAGATTGGCTTTACAAAAGTGGAAAAGAAACTGCTGGACAAATAATGTAGATTGGAATACAAAAGAGGGAGGTATGAGGAAGTCCAGAAAATAAGTAATTCAAAATTGGGAATGTAAAAGAGAGTTTGTTTTAAATTGTTATGTTGTGTGTTTTTATTGTTAAATTTTGTATTGTTTTTTTGTGTGTGTTGTTTTTTCTTTTTTCTTTGTTTAAAACTTTAATAAAAATTATTTAAAAAATAAATAAATAAATAAAAAACCAAACAAACCAGCTGAGTCACCCTCTTTCCTGGCTGGT